GCTGGTGCCACGGCTCCTTATCTCGCTTGATCCGGGGCGATGGGCTCCTCCTGTCCTCACCACCGCCGGGGTTGGCTCCCGAAGACGGCTGCTCGGGTCCCTCAGCCTGCGGCCGCTCGCCCTTGCCGCCCTGCTCCTCGGCGCATTTCTCTAGGGTGACACCGTCCCCCGGTTTCTTCCTGCGGAAGATGCTGGCGTTGATGAGGGGCGGCTCGTCCTTGTTGATGCCCTCCTGGCTGGACATCTGCATGTGCCGGCGGAGCTGGCTGGTGCGCTGCTCCCACACCGACATGTGGTGCCGCCGGCGACGTTCCCGCCTGCAACAGGGGACAGCAAGGGGTTGGCGTCCCGGTTGACCCCTCTGGTGAAGCACCCACCCTGGATTTAATTTGGGTATCCCAGGGAGAAGGAAATGTCATAGACGCCTTGCGCCGGGTTCGGCCCCAGTCCTCCAGCATCCCTCTGGTGCTGGCAGGGGCCGAGTCTGTACTTCTTTCTCTTCAGAAGGCATCAGGCTGATGGAAAACGAGCCCCATCAGCCTCACAGTTGCCCTGAAGCTTTCAGGCAGCATGGCCAGCTTGCTGGGAGCAGCAGTGACTGCCTTCCTCCTGCGTGACTGCCTTTCTTAAATACGGGCAACACCCTCTTGCTGCACCCTGGGATCCTTCCTTGCACCAGGGATTCCTTTGCATCACCCGCTCCTTGGAGCTGGGCTTCCTTTTGGAGTGGTGCTGCCCTAGCAGCACAAGTGATGGTGCAGGGGACTCTGAGAGCCAGCTTGCAGGCAAGGTGGGCAGCTCTGGTGGGATAGGGACAATGAGGAAGAAGGGAAAAGATGCCAGGTCCAAGACCTGCTTTACTTAATGCGAGATGGCCCTCTGAGACATTCGCAATGGAGAATGTCACCGGGCACACAAGGTCCTCTCCCTTCCTGTTCTCAGCTCTGGTTGGGCAGGACAGCCTCTCACCCAGCACATCCTAGGTAGGAAGCCTACGTGGAGGCTTGGGGAGCCATGGTCTTGGTAGGGGAAGAAGCTGTACTGGGCTCCTCTCTGTTCCCATGAGGTGCAAAGAGAGGGCTGGGCTATGCCATGAAACCATGAAGGCACCCATGAGACATCCCAGAGAAGACAAGACGTGCCCTTCCCAACACACTTGGGCACACAGGAACACCTACAAGCACACACGTGTAACATATACACCCCTCACAGCACACACCAACACACACGTACTGCACAGCCCACGCACAAGGAGCCTGGACAGGCACAAACCCACGAGTGCACGCACACGAACAGGGGTGCCAAAGGGGCAAAGGGAACACAGGCACACACACGCACGACCCTCCGGCCCCACCACCAC